GGAGAGGCTTTAGGAAACAAAATGCCTAAGTTGGCGAATAGAAAGAGAGATGGTTTGCGTGTTTAATCATAGAAAAAAGGAAAGAAGATCCAAAGAGAAAAGTTTTAGGATAAAATCATAATTTTTGAATGGACCTAGAGGCGTTTCGATCATTTTACTAGAAAGGTTAAATTTTTAATTTTCATATTTAATTAAAGGCATCTCGGTCTTTTCTATTATTTCATTAACTAAATCCTATTTTTATGGTAATTTTTTATTCCAATACTTCACCTATTTTGAAACGAAAATTAGAGATAGGCTGACGGGTTGGAAGGAAAAAGTGTTATCGATAAGTGGAAAGTTAACATTGATTTAGAGTGTATTATCATGCATTCCTAAATACACCATAGGCATACTTCCAATTCCCAAAACAACCATCTCCAAGCTCCAAAGCTACATATCTAATTTCTTCTAGAATAGTGGAGGAGAAAACAAGCATTACTCGGATCAATTGGCATACGTTGTCTCCGCCTATGCAAGAAGGAGGTCTAGCTATCAAAAATCTAGGAGAAGTGATGAAAGCTATGAAAGGAAAAATTGCATGGGCATATCTATCAAGTTCATCTTGAGACTGTTTTATACGGGACAAATATGGGAACCTTGTCGAGATTTCTTCGTTGGATACTAGCTAGGGTTTATTAATCTAAAGATCCCTCTTATTGCACATTAAATCATTAATGGACGAGTTCAATATGGATAGTGAAGGCTAGTAACATTCGATTATGGAAGAAAAAATAGACGAGTGTCGGATCTCTTCACGTTCACTCGGCTCCAAATATGGAAATCACACTAGCTTAAGCTAAAGCTGATCTACGAATATATGCTTCTCTCCCTCTTCGATCGAGAGATGAATTGGACTCTGTACATCTAGACTACAATACGGAAGATGTTCTTTGCTACATGAAGGTTAAGTCAAGTAGATTTATTTCAAAAGTTTATCACAAGGAGAATAGGCTAACTATCCTAAATTTGAGTGGTGGAGGAGTTTATGGAATAAATGGATCGCTTGGAAGGTTGGAATCTTGGTCCGAAAACTCATGCACAATGCTTTGGTTGTTGATGCAAAGGTTAAAATGTATGGAATCCCTCTCCTATCATGTGCAAATGCTACAATCGCCCCCAAAAGAGATGAAGGATCACCTATTCATGCACGAGTGAGGTTATTGGCTATTTATATAGCTACTTTGGTAATAATTTAGATATAATTTTGAGGGCGATATCGGTCGGGCAATTATCAACAAGGTGGTTGTCCAAAAGCATCATCTCCTTGTAAAAAGCCTTCTCTTGGTTAGTGGTCTTCAACATGGTTATATGGAAATTATGGCTAGCACAAAATAGGTCGGTATTTAAAGATGAGGTAATGAACTCCATAGGTATTAAACTCAAGGTGATCTACTAGTTAATTAGGCTTAACAAGTTGTTCTTCCCGAATGCCTCACCTTCCTTCCACGATAGTATTTTTCTTAGAGTCTTAGGAATTCAAGCTCACACTCCACTCACGGTTAGGGGAAAATGGATAAGATGGATATCTCCATTTCTAGATTACTTAAAACTAAACATGAAAGGAGCTTTAAGGGGAAACTTTTGCGGTAGGGGAGGAGTTCTTTATAATGCTCATGGAAAGATGTTGATGGCATTCTCTATTTTCTTTGGAGCTGGATCCAATAATAAGGGTGAGCTTCGGCCATTCGGGAAGGACTCGGACTATGCAATCTTCATAACTTTCAACCTTCAATTATAGAAACCGATTCCTCTTTTACTCTATGTGGTTTGGTTCACTCGTACAACCTTCCTTGCATCTTAATTATATTTTACGGAATTATTGGGCAAGTATAATTCCAAGTACTACCTTTCAACATGTATTCTAAGAAGGGAATAATGTTATTGATAAGCTTGCGAGTATAGGCCTTCCAACACTCATCTATACAAATTGCTTTCATGTTATCTAACACCCTAAGCAGCTGTGCTCAAGCTATACGGGAAGATGCTCGAGTAGCTATTTTTTTCACCAACAAGTGCAACATGAGGAAGATGATTTTCGAAAATTGATAGTAGGGAATGGTCCGTGATTATACGCAAGAGATTACTCTCTTTTTTCGACTAAATGATAGTCCAACATGCAAACAAGCTTCGTGTATGGTTCATTCCAGTTTGTAAGTCATCCTTCGGTATCGGTACTTAGTGTATATTATGGCTTATCCCGACTTCAATACTATTCATAGTAGGGGAATATCACTAAGATAGGGATTGTAATTATTTCATGCATGTTTGTTTCATATACGTTCACGGACGTGCAACTATTTAATTAGTTTCTTATTGGTTTTGATCCTTCAGGAGCATGGCATTATTCCTCATTTTAGAGTTCATAGATTGCGGGAATATTGCCCATTAATCCTAGGCTTCCTTGCCCTCCCAAGCATGCTAGGCTAAGCTAGATTATCCCCCTTGTGGTCATTGATTTTTAATCAATATACTATCGTAGTACTAGTCCTCTTTTCTTAAAAAAAAATGATGCGTCATTGTGTATCAAACCCAAAGGGTTAGAAACCCTCGAGAATTTAAGATGAGATATAGTTGGAATCAATAATTTATGACAGATTAGAAGAACGGAATTGAGATTTCATTTCTCATATTTTTAAAGTGAGTGTCGATCCTAGTGTGACTTTGATTGCATAAAATATTCAATTATTTATTTTGAATTTTTGTTTGGATGTGATTCTTGACCATATTAATAAATCCTAGGTCAAAATATTATCGGTGGCATTACCTGTCAAACCCCTAGGTTTAAAAGCCATTAGTTGTATAATTTTACAAAGTCGTGATCAGTTCACCATCCTTTCAAAACTCAAGGTGAAAATGTCATTAGTGGCATTATCATCAAAATCCAAAGTCTAAATGTCATTAGTAGCATAATCTCCACAAATTCAGTATCAAGTCACTATCCTTTTGAAACCCTAGGTCAAAATAGCATTAGTAGCATTATAGCAAAACTTTAGGTCTAAATATCATCAATGGCATAATCTTTTATGATGCTACTTATCAAATCAACATCCTTTCAAAACCCTAAGTCAAAATATCATCAATAGCATTATCGTCAAAACCTTAAATCTAAATGTTATTAGTGGCATAATCTCTATGAAGTCATTATCGATTCACCATTCTTTCAAAACCCAAGGTCAAAATGTTATCAATGGCATTATTATATAAACCCTAGGTCTAAATTTTGTTAGTGGTATAATCTCAAAATCCTAAGTCTAAATACCATTAGTGACATAACCTCTAAGATTTCATCATTGGTTTGCCATCTTTTCAAAACCCTACATATAAATGACATCAATGACATAATCTTTGTGATGTCATTATCGGTTTATTATCGTTTCAAAACTCCAATTTTAGTTTTCGTTAGTAACAATCTTTGTGATGTCGTTATCGGTTTGTTGTTCTTTTTAGTTTGTTCAAAACTCCTAACTTAAAATTAGTTTCTCCTAAAGTGAGGAAAAGGATTCCGCCCATCCAAATCATGAACCACTCAATCAATTATTTTCTAACTTAGCAACAGACATACTCAAATACATATTGGCTTTCATTATATCCAAAATCAAAAATCATGTTAGATATTGCATAACATGCGACTTGTCTTAAATAAGATATGGTAGGATGAACTTTAAGCAAACCAAGCAATTGGTTTGTTAGTAACCTTAAATATTAGGTGGCGACTCCTTTTTCTATATCTTTTTCCTATATTCTAAAAAGCTCATCATTCACGATATCCATACTACAATACCAATAATATCTTTTTCTTGATTATCGAGAAGATCAAACTAATATTTTATTTTTTATTTTTTGCAACAACTACGGTTAAATAGCATTCTTATAAGGTTAACTCATGCAAATCTTTGGCAAGAAGTTCTTATCTTGGCTAGTCGAGACATATCCATAGGTGGAAAACACTCTTCGACGACTATTAAAGTCGACATTATCAATTTTACATTTGAAACCATTCAAGTTGTGATCATCAACTTCATCATAGATTGGAGGCTAGTCCAAATTCATAAACAAATCAAAATTTCACATGCATCGAAGTCAAAAAGATATTTACCATACTTTGGTGGTATATTCCAATCCATATAGGAAATAGAATCATCAAAAGAAAAATTAGCTATAAGATCATTCGTTTGTTGCTAGAATTTTTCTTGTCTAATTTCTTGCTTGCCCTCGGATTATTGGCTACATAGCTGCCATACGATCCTCTCAAGCTCTTCATTTCTTTACCATAAATGTATCATCCTCCCAAGCTCTTTATTATTTTATCATAAATATGCATTCCGATCCTCAATTTTTTTCGTAAATATGCCCTCTTACATTGCAAGTCTACCATAGATATTCGGTTTAGTTGTTTTCTTACATCTTCATAATCATTGTCAAGAACTCATAAGGAAAGCAAACCAAATCTCTATTACCATGTAGATACTTGGATTTGTCAAGACAAACAATCAAACTATAATTTCAAACCCTAGAAAACCAAAGTTATTTTCAACAATAAAATAAATCCTTACTTTAGTTGATTTTAGCAAGAGTAGAAACTCCACTACAACTTTAGTTTAGCTTGATAATCAATAAAAGTAACAAGAGATTCAATAGATTTTGGTTAAATTTAAAACCTAACTACAATCTTAGCTAATAATAATTGACATCACCACCTTGACAGATCAATTTTAAAGATATAGAAAACATATAGCCTTAAGATAAATACAACAAAACATGCATATAATTGAGAGAAACTTTTTAAGAATTTTATTCAATCAATAATCAAAAGTCGTTTCTCCATATTAATTTTTAAATACTAACCTTAATAGTCGGCCAACTAGGAAAATAATATACTAACTTATTAGGCCATGAACTTCTAAGCCCAATCCAAACTCAACAAGGGCTAATTATCCTTCCCCAAATCCAAAACAAATATGGACTCTAAACAAACTCCCAATATGAATAGGAATCCTTGTGATAATAAAATACGTTAAGAAAAAATAAAGCATAATAAAATGAATAAAGGCCTACATAATTTAGCCCAAATAAGGGCTAAAACATTAAAAAAAAAAAAAAAAAAAAGAGAAGTGAAGTGTTGACTGTTCATTATAGCTGCAGACTCAACTCTCCTATTCATAGAATTTTATCTGATTTGTTTATTTTTCGTGTGGTTTTACTATACAGAATGAATTGTTTTGTCTATTTTTTGTTTCAATCGTCCGATCTCAGTTAATTACTTTGAAACCGTCCGATCAAATATTGATTGCTTTCGATTTTACTGTGCAAAATGAATTGTTTTGTCTATTTTTTGTTTCAATCGTCCGATCTAAGTTAATTGCTTTGAAGTCGTCCGATCAAATATTGATTTCTTTCAATCTCAACCATCCATCTAAAAAACCTTAGCAATCACAACAATTAAATCATATGCTATATAACTTCTTTTCATCCCAGTTTCATAAGCCTCCATCTCCTTCACCATTCTCCCCTTTGCAAAAATCCGCCACACCACACAACCAGCCAAATACCCATTTTTGATCTTTCTGATTCTTCACATTGTTAAAGAGTTGAGGATTGACGAAAGAGCTCGGGAACTGAAAAGAAAGGAAGAGAAGATTAGACAGATGGAGATGACTATTCTTGAGAAATTCGAAAGCATCAAATGGTTACAGAGTGAGATAAAATCTCTCCAGGTATGGTTCAAGTTTGACTAAATAGCTAATTTCCAGACATTAGCTAATTGTGTTCATCTGAAATTAATTGTCTTCTGCATTTGAATTTGTTTTAGGCAAAAAGGTTCGTAGATGTTAAGGAACAGCCAAGTAAATCATATGCTGGGGTTGGTGAACTTAAGAAACATATTGGTTATCCATGATCTACCTTTCTAGCAACTTACATGGAACAGTGCTTTTGAGATTTAGCTTTTTATGATAGGTTGACAAACTCAGAAAGGAAGCAGAATCACAAAGTCAGAAAAATGAAGACCCAAGTAATTTAGAATTATGAATATTTTGATTTTAGAATTAATTAATTTTCCCCCATTTGAATCGAATTTTTGTGACTACAGGTGCATTGCGAGAAGCATTTCTGTACAGAATAGCAAAGGTCAAAGATGATTGCTGATAAGATTGCCATACAAGCTACGGTGGAGGAAGAGCTCGACCCATGACTGTCTTCGTATTCATGCATGATAAGATGTTCTAACCTCTGTTACATCTATCAGATTTTGAAGTGGACATGAATGGAAAACGTTTTGCTTGGCAGGTTAGTTTATCTTTCCAATTTCAATTCATTTGGCCTTCTAGGCATGATTATGTGATGAAAGTAATTTTCCATCGAAGTGGATCTTATTGATTCTGTTGTGTTTTCCCATTAGGGTATTGTAAAGCTTTATTTCATTGATGAAGCTCGCCTTCTTGCGGAGGTCGAAAAAATTGAGCACATATTAACGGTATGTTTCTTGGATCAATTTGCTTTGCTACATTGTTTATTTCTTTCATTACTTGAATTTTCTTACAAGAAGATCCTATGGTTTTACATTATCTGATCTAAATGCTGCAATGTTCTATAGGAGGAAGAACTGAGAAACAGTATGATGTTTGACATGCTTTATGTGTCATCATCTCATTCTCTTTCTGAGAGTATATATTTACTCGATAATAAGTCCAAGCAATTAACAGAAAAAGAGCGAGTTAAAGTCAAGGAGCGTATCAATCCTGCGTTAAGGTCTATGTTGAATTTACTTAACAGAATAATTTATGGAATTATTTACTTTGAGCTCTGAAAGTGTGTTACTTTTATGGGATTCTGAATGTGATTGGTTTCCATTTTTCACTTGAATTGTTCTTGATCACTGCTCTAGATGTGAACTTTGTTAAGTTTGAATAGGGAATGTTAAGAGACCATCTGGCTTGTAAAAATTTTTGTTCTTAGTGTCATACCTTCAAGTTGAATACAATTGTCCTTTAAGAGTCAAACATGTAATGTGAAATCTAAAAAGTTGCTTAGTTGGTAAGACAATAAAGGGAAAGCAAACCAGTAATAGTATATTACTATATTGAAACCAACTGTCATCTAAGGTGTCAAAGTTCATGTGGCTACTCTTTTCTCGCAGGACCTGGATTTTCTGTTTATATGTCGGATTATTTTCATTTTCAAATTATATTTGGTTTTATTGAACTTTGATTTTTGCTTACAAATGTTTGTTTAAAATATTTGGACCATTGAATTATAGATTTCATTAGTAAAAATTAATGTTTATAAATTGGGTTCTTAATAAAGATGAAATGTGTGATTTGTTTGATTAGTCTTTCATTACCACTTAACAAATAAAATTTAAGGAGAAAGCTTGGGTTGTTTCTATGGAATTGAGAAGATATGAAAAGACATACGTGGAGAATGAGCTGGATTTATCTGTTGAGGTATTGATAGTTTTATTTTTTTTTATTGATCAATTTAGGTGAAAGTGATTGCTTTTAACAGTCATATATGCTTGGATAGTATTGTTGTTGAATAAGATCATACATCACTAGATCATTCAAACGACATCCACTGCTTGCCAACTTTTGGACTGTGTGACTATTAGATTGGTAAAATACTTTTGTCCAACAACTATCTTGAGCTTAAATACACACTCATATTCATTTAGCATATCACTTCATCTTATCTTTTGAATTGTTTTTGCGGATATTTCTAGCATTCTCTTTAGTTTTTTTACCCACAAATAGTCAAGTTTTTAATTTTGAATATTTCTTTAAGCTTTTAATTTTGAATTTTTCTTTCTTATGCATCACCTTTTAAATCACACTTATGTTTCCTCATAAGTTGAACATGAAACAAACTGAACATGAAACAGGAAATGATAAAAAATCATCAATTATTTGTCGCAGTCACAAATGTAACTCTATTATGCCCACATAAACCCTTGCATTGTCTTTTTCCTCCACTAGATAAGCTATTCACCCTTTTTTTTTTCAATGAAACATTCCATGCTTATTATGAAAAGATGGATTTTGTTTGGGAAACAGAGGAACTCTTTTTTGGCTATTGAAGTGCTTGATTTTCTCTAATTCTTGGTTTTTCAGGGTTGGAATTGAGTTTCCAACAATTGAAGTTCGATACAATAATCTAAATATTGAAGCAGAAGCTTATGTAGGAAGCAGTGCTTTGCCTTCATTTTCTAAGTTCACTTTGAATATACTAGAGGTAACTATATTTGCAAACATTTAACATCAGTTATTTGTTCATTTTAGTTTGGTCATGCTTTTCTTCTTAGCTGATCACTCATCCATCAATTTTGAAGGGTTTATTGATTGCTCTTCGTACCCTTCCAGGTGGAAAGAAAAGGATGTTAGTGGAATCATCAAGGCATCAAGGTCAAATGATCATGATCTGAAATCCGTTTGCTTAAAACTTCCTCCAATTATTAATTGCCTTTTCTTAATTTTTATGCTTTATTTGTACATGTTGAAGGATGAATTTGCTTTTGAGACCTCCAAGTTCTGGGAATTCCTAAAGATCAAAGCGTCCTAACCAGTGGTATGTTGACAACATATTCACTTATAAATTATAATGCAATTGTTTTTGGACTTTTCTGTTGATTCCCTTATACACATGGTCGTACTATTAAAGGAGAACTTTCGTATTATTTTAAACTACTGATAAAAGCCTCTTAGATGAACAAATTATTAGAACTGTAAATTTGTTGAATGAGTTATGAAGCTCAAATTGAAGAGCAGGACACCTTGATGGTGGATAAGAGTTGAATAACAATGTGTGTCTTTAGATGAATCAGTGAATGTTTTAGTTTTGAAGTCATGAAGAGTGAATGTTAGTGAATTTACTCAATAAAGAGCAAAGGCATCCATTGTTTAACAGAGGTCAATTCCATTCATTCTTTCCTTTGCCTCTAACCAGTGGAAGAATGCACTAAAAATGACATCACAAAACTATTGAGATTCAGTGTAATCATGTCAAGATTCATTAAAGACTTATTTTAATGATTTATCTCACTTTTTTTTTATCACATCGGTTCTTATGCTGTGGGTTCGTTTTATGGGTTGTTTGATGCTAATTAAACCATAAATAAGATCATTTCGTGATTTTTTGTTAAATTTCTTGATCCTCATTAGTTTACTGAAGCAATTGTTGGTTTTATTTTCGAGTTAAACATGATGATAGTGTTATTTGATCTAGGAGCTACTTTTTATCTAGGTGTTTGATCCATATACTGATCTGCATTGTTAAATTCTTAAGAGTCATTAGCTATCTAATTTTCTGTTTAACAAGGTTAATAGTGTGTTTGTGAACTATTTACATTGATCGTTTTTATAGTCACTTTGTTTGGTTTTAGATCTCTGAATACATCGTTAAATTCATAATCTTGATCTCCAAAACTAATCAATCATCATATAAAATAATTTTTTTTGTGATATTAGAACAAGATGGAATTTTGTAAATTATTTGATCTTGATGGTGTAATTAAGCTTACAAAATTAATCTATATCTATTTTCCTGCTATGTAGTGGATTGCTATACTAAATGTATCGACACTAAGTTGTTTTTCTTCTTCTTTTATTTTTTATTTTATTATTATTATTATTTTTTTTTTTTGCAGGATAGGGTACAAATGGGAGATTGATTATCTCCATCTTGGCTCATAGGAATGCTGCACAACGCAACTTAACAGGTTTATGTTGAAGCTTAGAGGCAAGATCTCCTTAAAGTGGACAAGGAATTATTTTATTATTTATTCCATTGCATTTCTTCAAACTTATTAGCTTAGGATATCACAAATGTGTGATTCTCTGCTATTTATATACTAATTTAATATTTAATGAGTTACTGTGTGCATGCAAACTGTTGGAAAAAGCAAGTGTTTAAATGTATGTAGTTTGGAGTTTTTTATGTTTGTTCCCAACATTTATTAGAAGAAATAATTAATAAATAAATGGGGTTTTGTTCTTTTTTTTAATGTTGGTAACACATAATTTAACAAATTTTCTTTTGATAGCATTGCTAATGTTAAAAAAAGTCTTGTCCTTTCCCTTTGTAACTTTGCAATGAATTCTCTTCAACCTTGGTTAATAATTGTAAACTTTTCATCCATGTGTTTGTTTACCATCGTTATTACCTTTCCTATTGATGGTTAGATAATAAACAATCCTCTTTTTTATCTACTTGGTGTCAAATTAATTGGGTAACCAGCCCTTCATATTGTAAAATAAACTGTTGGGGTTTTTACAAACATCTGTCACTTGATTTTAGCATAATATCCCATAGCAACAGACACAATATTTTGAAATTTTATGTTGAAGGCAGGTTGTGGGTTTATGTTTTCCATAGTTGGTAGGAAGCATCGAGGTCTTCTTTTTATGTTGAATACATTTATTTGTCACATTCCTGTTCATGTATAACCATACTTTTAGTCACAATTAGATTGTTTGTATTAGCAAAAAAAATAGAAAACTATTACCCTTTAGACATTTAAAATACGATTCTTTTCACCTTGAATTTCCAATGCTAATCAAAGTTCCAGGCACCAATTGTAACCTTGAAAATTTGTTGTCAATTTTCACCAACTTTCAATCAATTATTTCCTGCAAGTTTCAACCGGCAATTATGAGAAACATATATGAATTTTTAATTTCCTACCAACTTTTTCATTTTACTTGTAGTTATATTATTGTAGACTATATATATATATATGTAAACTTACCTGGTAGCTATCTATTCAATAGATAACCACAACAACCCACAACATGTTTGTTTCCTCTGCTTCATCATGAATTGAAATATGTCACCTTATGCCAGAAAAAGATAATAAACATAATTGACCTACCATTTAACTTTTGACTAGACCATAAACAAAAAAACAAACTCGGACTCTGTTGTTGAAAAAATTTACAATTAAAGTAGTATTAAAACTTTTTGCTTTTCAATTTTATCGTAATACATGTACTTTTTTCCTATCTAATTCTTTCAAGTTTACATTCTAAATCTGTCATTACTAGCTATAGATAGCATTACACTACAGAATGAAAATAGATCAACCATTGAGCACTTATTCCAACCACCAATCGACAATATTGAGGTATGCAAAACTCTCTATCAATTTTTATAAATAAAATTATTAAACATCATCTAATCCATATAAATATACTTTGCTCATTAGTTGTTTTTTATTAGAGAATTTGCTACACAATTAAGGCCACAATAGTCCATATTGATCCAAGTGTAGGCTGGTGGTTTCCAGCATGTCCACAATGTCACCGCCTAGCAAAAAAAATCGTCGACATCTACTCATGCACAATCCATGGCATACTCATTGATGAACCCATCCCACAATAAGTCATTCTGAAACTTACTGATTCATTTTTTCCTTTACAACTAAAATTTTTTGAATCCCCTTTTGCTCAATATGCATACAAAACCACATTAAATCTTCTTTTTATTACCATAACATATCCATTTTCCTCTTTTTTTCCCTGTTATTTACAGATATAGCATCAATTGCACTATTCATAATCATACATCTGAAAGTAGCCTTCTACTCGTTGAAAATGTGGCTGCATTATGTTTTGGATATACATGCAAGCAATAGGTATTAGACTTTGGATATATTGACAAAAATCTCCTCCCACAACAATTACTGGATGCCATTGATAAACCCAAGGTTTTTTGGATTTGACGTAATATTTTTTACAACACATCATTAGGCTGTTACTTTGTTGTAACTTATGTCTTCGATGTCGATGATATAACCTATAAATCATCAAACAAGCAAAAAAAGGCAATGATCGTAAAAACCAAAAGCCATTGTAATTCCATTTATGCATCGTTTAATAATATTACAAGCGTTTTGTTTTCTTACTGTGTCCTTATTCTTTGACATAAAAAATATTCGTTTATGGATAATAAAAATTATATAAGTCTCGAATTAAAATTCAACCAAACATACCTGATCCTCTATATAAAACGAGTGCCCGACCGCAGTGTAGCGTTGGTACACCACTAGTTCGTCCTAAAAGAAATTAGGTCGTACTCCCGTGTTAGGGCTAGGTTAGAGAAGGATCAGTATGAAGAGGGGATTTCCTAGATTGCAAGATATGGTAGAGTTGAGTGAGAGGATAGCAGTGTTGGTTTGTTGCTTGATTGTTTAGAGATTTTTTCTTAGAAAGACCACAAAGATTTCACATAAACAATACGAGAATATAGCTCAATTTCTTAGACTCAAAGTGGAATTATCCTGTTTTTAGTCTATGATAGGTTATTGAGATCCAGAATAATGGTGTTTTACGTTTGAAAGTCAGGTTTCACCTCTATATTGGAGTATAAAGCTCTATTGACATGCTTGAAATCCACTATGGTATACTTCTATAGCCCATAAGAGCAACCTCTTGCAAACTATGAGTGGTTGGCCAAACTGAACTGCAAAACTCTCTCTGAGTAGGAACCAAGAGAAGGCTCAATTAGGGTTGATTCTGCAATACTCTTCGGTTAGTCTTTATGAAGCATTTGAATGATGAAGATAATGAGATCTAGTTGAGAATCCTGGATTTAGGGATCTATCGGCTAATATTGTTCTCATTTTCAAAGGACATAACAGACTACAAAGTAGTGAATATGTTTAAAAATGTGGTCTTTTTGGGTTAATCCTGTAACGATCGTGTTAGCTAAAACCATATCATTTTTGAATTTTTATAAATGGAAGGATGAAGGATACCTAAAGTGTTGCGTACAGTTACAATTTATATAGTTTGTGAGCCACGTCATGACAAGCAAGACAACCGAGATATTTTGAGCTCTTTGACATACGTACTCCAAGCTAGAGAATTTGTTTAACCATTCATTAAGTGAGTTAGACAGAGTCACTTGAACTCATATGTTTCACTATAAAGTTTATTATGCCTACTTCCACTCTTACCTATTGTATTATGGTAATTATACATGGGTATTTTTAATTAGAGATAGATGTTTTATTTTTTAAAATTGGTGGTTATACAATTGGGCTTCAAGTAGTTCATTCCAAGGACCATCGAGCTAGTTGAGCTTTATGAGGAGTTTAGGACTTCAAAGAAGCTGTTAGATCTTGTTAAGAACTTATAGAAACACCAAAGAGTGATTAAAACTACAAGAAAAGGTATCCAAAATGGTAACAAACTCAAGAGAAAAAAATATCAAGCCCTAGTATTTAGGGGCCCAGAAAGACGGATGGATGAAACCGTTATATGCTCAATTTTGACTTATCATGAAGACCTGAATACAAAGCTGAGGGAGCTGGGAGCTAAAAGAAAGAAACTAGAGGAAAATCTGAAAACTCAAAAGCAAGCCATGAGTGTGAAAAATGAGTTATATGCTCAATTTTGACAGAATGAGGATGTTCTGAGACAACTTCAAATAGAGCATCATGATTTGGCAATGGAAAATGAGGAGCAAGCATAAATGGAGTGATGACGATGACAATTGATATTAGTTCTTCAACCATCTTTGTCCTCATAATCTCATGTAGGTCCATTAGACCAAGGGCATGCATCTCTTTTTTATTGGGCTCCAACTGTCTCCTAATCACATTTTTGCTGATAAACCTCATAAAAGTGAAGCAAGCATTTATAGTATGGCTATCCACTATATGCCATCTGTACTAATGGTCAACTTGTTATTACTTATCTGCAGGAAATTTTCGAAACCTATTCTACACCACATGGTCAAAGTACTTGTTTGCAGCAATGGTGTCGCATGTCACAAGTCAACATCAGCAAGAGATAACTGCTTAGTAAAAGATTAATTAATTATTTATCGTGCTTTTCGCTACGCGTGGAATAAAACATGTACAATTATTTTTAAAAACAATATTAATTTTATGATCCGTGTTATACTATTGATGTATTAAAATATATCAAATCAAAGATAAAAAAAATATTAATTTTTTTTATATTTAATTAATTATTTATTATGTTTTTCATAAATTTTTTGATAAAAAGAACATGATTTATTCTTTTATATCCGGATTCTTAACTTTTAAGAAAGTTTAAAAATCCATAAATTTTTAACTCAAAACTTTTGTTATAATTTTTTTCTTAAAGAATTTGAGATAAATTATTTAAAAAACATATATATATATATATATATATATATATATATATATATATATATATATATATAATCTAAAGATTTAAAAAAATCAAATAATTTGTCTCAAATATATATGTAATCATGCCACTATCATCTAAAAATTCAAAGAATTCATTATATAATTTTTTTAAGAGCAAATAATCATATTCCAAAAATTCACACACACACACGCACACACAACACATGTGTGTGTGTGTGTGTTTGTGCTACCATTATTTAAAAAATTAAAAGAGTTTATTGTATAAATTATATCAAAAAAATATGAATAAATAACAATATTCTAAAAATTTATATATAGATCTCTCTTTTCTCCTTCCTTTTTCTTTATTTCTCTCTTTTCTTATTTGACAAAGACTAGATTATAATACAAATAAAATTGTCAATAAAAATAAAAGTTGTTGAAACAATCAGATATGAAAGAACAACATGTGCAAAAAAATACGTATAAAATGCCCGAAAAAGCTTCAAAATTACAAAAAAAAAAAACAAAAAACAAAAAAACAAAAA